ACAAATAATACGTAATCAATTTTTATGCCAACTACTTGGTTAGATTTCCTCAAATAGTTGTGGCATGAAGTCAAGTAAATATATATTATTGGATTACATATAAGTTCTTTTGCTTATAGATCTGGGCATGTATACTACGCAGTCAGTGCTACAGCCGTGTAAGAGTTACAATTCGTTTGTCCTTTACTTGCAGACAATATATTGATTAAGCTCCGATTATAATAACATTTAATAACTGCTGTTAAGGGTATTTTATTTTAGAGATGGCAAAAACAACTCATATTTCTTGTTTTTCCTGTTTTGTTAACTTTAGCCAGAGCATGTTTTTAGCCTTAATTTGAATCGTAATAACTTTTCTACACACACGATGTGTGCCTAACACAGAACCGCATTCACACTTAAAATTATTTTCCACGCTGTTTCATGGATTAATTGCATTTTCCTAACCAAATTTCGTTGTGGCTTTATCTCAATGCTGTTGCAGTTGCAGTAAGGCTCAAAAAAGATTATTATTATTTTTGAGAGCTGACAATGAAAAACGGTCAAAATGTGTGCACACGCACACACACACACTTGAACACACGAACACCCAAACATGAAGCCAATTTGGGGGCGTACCTAGGCTGAACTGCAGCAGTTACAGCTACAGCAGTAGCCGCAGCCAACATGGCGTATATGTAATTTGCATTACAATGAACCCGCTCTAGCCACAACAACCGTTACACTTCCCCCTATCTCATTTTTGCACCCCACCTCCCCCTCCCCGTCTCTCCCGCTACCCTTCTTGCTGCTCATCACATCAGCTCCTTTCATTGCTGCAAGGTGTATAATTTTGATAACATCGCACAAAGCCCGCACATTCTAGGGTGTTGACAATGCTGGCGAAGGGGGGGGGGGGGCTGTTTGTTGGGGGCTGGGATGGGGCTTGCTGGCATGGGTAAAGCTGCATTTAAATTGAAATAACAATAATTGTTTGCTGCTGCCAAAGCAGCTATGCCCATTCCTACTTCCCTATTGCAAAATACAATTCTTGCCACCGCATAGAAATGGCACAGCGGATGTCGAGTGTCACTAACTACCACGCCCCTCATCCCCTAAGGTGCACTTTTAATAAGAGGCTCTTAACTAAACAATCTATTCTTCAGTTGACACAACCCTGAACTGTTTGCTGCGACAGGCAATTAAATAAATGCTGCAACAAAATAAATCAATATCAAAGAATAAAAAGTTGAGAACTAAAAAACATGCCGAAAATAAACTGGATTAAATGCTAACTGTTTTTACTAATTAAAATAAAATAACGAGCAATAAGACTGTACTCTCTAGAAGTCGGTACAGACTAACTTGGCATCATGAGAATTGCATAGAAAGGCGAAATGCTGTACCCCAACCATATTTAGCTATGACCTCGTATTTAATACCCACTGAAGAAATATCATTATAAAAATAAAATTACCATGTCATATTTTGCGAGAGCATTTCGAAGGATGCCTTTACTTTACTGAGCTTGTGCCTGAAACGAAGAATGAGACGTAGACCTTTACAACTGCCAACATACTAGCAGGCAACTTTTTCCACCTGTCTAGGGAGCAGGCAAAAAATTACTTGCTTAAAAACTTTTTAATTGCCATATGCTCTTAGAGCGGCACCCAAAAGGATGCAGTGAAGTGTGCGCTTTTATACCATGTGCCCAAAAAGGAATAGAGTATATTGGTTGGCTTTTGTTTCACAGCACACATTTAACGACAACAACAATTTGGTAATAATAGATAAATATATGCCATATTTTTTCATTATATAATAGATAGATAGAAATATAGAATGCATTCTTATAACAGAGTATCTCACAGTTGGGTGCACTCAACTGCAGCGTTCTCACTTGTTTTCTTTTTTTTTTGTCGTAATTAGCTGCCATAGCTGAGGCTGAGGCAAATTATGCCATAATTATGCAGCAGGCAACGGGCTCACTCAATGAATTTTACGAGCACATAACGTATTTGGCAAAGTACTCGACGCTTTTTGATTGGCTTCCGAATGCAGCCACAAAAACGGTTGACCGAAACATAAAAAGTTCTTCAAAGTCAAACCACAACAATTGGCCAACAAGTTGTCGCCAGCAACTTGCCAAGTGCCCCTCAAAAATTGTTTAAGCTGTGTCAAATTTAAATACTTCCCCACAATCGGCGTCCGACTGCAGCAGGAACAACTGGCAATGGAGCGAACTTGAGTGGGTTTTGAGTGCATTGGAACGCTGAAAATACTGAAACACTCAACGACAACAACAACACACGGAGAAGGCTTTGCTGTTGACGCTGACGAGCGACAATTGTAGCTGCCTTGTCTCCTGGTCATGCACTTTGCTCATTGTTATTGCTTGGGATCGGGATCGAAATCGGAATCGGGTTCAACGGGTTGGGGTGGTGATTGAGAAGCGCGGAAGCGACGCTGTCAAACGCTGTGATTGATGCACAGGTTGTCGATTAGTAGTACAGTTGGCTCAGTTGGTCTAATTTCATGAGCAACCATTAAAAAATCGAAAACAAATACCAAAAGACACGAAAATACAAAAGTAAACATTGAGAAAAACAAAACAACCACAGCACTTGTTAGTTATTTTTACGATTCTGCGTTTTGGAAGTTTGTTGGTATTTTCTTGATTTATTATTTGCAATTGTGAGATATTTGTGCTTGAAGCAACAAATTAATATATTTTATCAATACTAAAATCTATTTTGAAATATTGAAATATTTTTTTAAATATTAAATTATTGTTTTATTCATTAAAATATTGTTTCTTAATTACAAATATTAAAATATTTTTAAACAATTAAATATTTTTAAATATTAAAATATTTTTAAATATTTATAAAAAATTTTCTTAATACTTGCTGACTATCTTCTGCATAATATAAACGGAATATAAAATTTACAAATGTATTTACTAATTGTGCTTGGATTTAAATTTGGCATATTTGCATCGTATTTTCGTTTTGTATATTTCTATTACTTCAATGGCTTTGAGGTTTGGTAGCTAAAAATGGCAAACATGATTTTCATTCTTTCAACCTTCTGCCACATCAAGTGTGGCATGCATCTTAAGCAACCACTGTGCCACAGAGTAGCTCAGAGTCCATCTAATTGTCGTTTATGTGCCCTTCTAGACTGCAATTGTTGGCGCACTAACTGTAAATGATGTTCGCTCAATGCCTCAATGCACACGACTCGTTGCAAGTGGCAACTGGGAACTGGCAACTGGCAACTGGCACCCACACATGATGTCGCTTGCAACGCGTGTTTGGGGTTTGTTTTTGACAGGCGCGTTGGCACTAATGTCTTTTTCTTGCTCGTTTGTTGGCCGCACTCACAATTACAATCATGCAAACAGACACCCACACAGACACACAAGCAAGCACACACTCGCCTTTGGCCTTTGGCACTTTGTCAATCGACAAACAAAACGAATTGCCACGACATCGCCAGTTGCCCTGCGGAGCAAGTGGCAAGAATTGGGGGGCAACCTCCAAGGAGCATGCAGATGTGCACCTGCTGCCTGCTGCTCTATCTCGTCCAGTTGCATTCATATATACACGTTAGTCGCTTCCGCTAAAGCCCTGGCTATTGTTTTGATTGTTTGCAACTGCCAACAATACTCCAAGCAGTCGAGCAACAAAAAAGGACCAAAAGATTTAAGTTTAACAAGGTTAGGTCAGCTTGACTCTGAGATTGCCTTTAACACTACATAAAGCGTATTCTGTTTGAATTGCAGAGAATATAATATATATAAAAACAGGTTGTTTTAAAACCTTTTTGTATGGACAGTCAATCTTCAATCCATTCTTATTGAAATTAATTGAATTAATATTTCCATACATATCTTATCGTTTCAAAATCAAAGTACACTCTCATTCTCATCATTTTTTCAATTAATAATTAAATAATAAAGGTAAAGTTGTTCAGACTATGATATGAATACTATATAGATGGCATAATGATTATGGTATTCATAAAAAGTAAGCTTTACATAACTAAGTTCCAATCAAGAAAATATTTTAGATATATCATTTGAATTTGCTTGATTTAAAAAAATTTTGAATTGAAATTCAAAATTTAAATCTAAGGAAACTTCTTAATAGTTTTAATATTGACTAAAAAGTTTTGTTAATTAAATAAATGTATTTATTTTAGTGGAATTCTTTACGTTAAATTATAAAAATTATAATTTAAATAAGGAATTCCTTTGTTTTATTATTTAGAACATTAAACTAGAAACCTATCTAATGTCTGCGAGTTTTTACTAAATTTGACTTTGTAAATTATAGTCTAATTTTCTTAGATAACATTTTTAAAAATGTCTACGAATCTTGTCAATAACATTTAAATGATATGAAATATTTTAACATTTAAATGATATGTTATTACATACTCTGTTTAACGTTTGCTTAATTACAAGAAGGAGCAAACATTTTCAGATTTGATTAAATCCTACAATGCAACTTTTGAGGTATCTATGTCTCTCATTTTCAATTAAAGCCGAACATTAAATTTAATTTAATTTAACTAAATTAGTTTTAATTAAATAAGAGTCCCAGCTTGATTCTTCAACTTAAACTTATTTGCATGCAAAAAGATTCAAAATGCAGATGCCAAGCAGAAGTATGCCACAAAATCCCTTCTTTATGCAACGCCAACACACTCGTAAAGCCCAAGGCTATGAATTGTGTGCCTGTGTGTGCGTACCACAGCGTTCAAAGGATCTGGCAAGGCTGACCCTTTTCGTGTTCGTGTAGGTGTTCGTATGTGCGGCTGACCATTTATGAATATTTACGAGTGTGCAACACGCAGTGGCGCCCCGGGGCGTGCATTGCAGACTTCTAATGGCATTAAGAGAACGTGCCAAAGTCGAGCAATGGGATTTGTGGGGCGTGACAGCACAGTGCGTCAAATGTTATAGGTAAATTTGTAGCTTTCAATTTGAATACGTGCTCAAAACAGAGCAACGTATCAAGAGCTTGAATATATTAAATAAATACAAACAAAAAATACATGCATTGAACTGAAACAAAAAAAATGTCAAAAAATCCGTGCACGGGCGTGCTGAAACCCTTGCCGATCTATCAGAAGTTGATGGTGGACAACCTGACAGTCATACGCCCGCCCATACTCAAGTTGTACTACTGGGAGAGCTTCAACATAACTGGGTGAGTAGCGCTTGGCTGTGAACCGAAAAACCCGTATCCAAAGGTCTCTACTCCACTCGGACAGACTCAACAAGAAACTGCGCTCGAACAAGAAGGAGCATGAGCATGTCCTGGCGGTTCCATTGCGTCAGATACAAAGCCAGCCCCTGAAGATGATCTTCTGGCTGCGCAACATGTCCGCCAAGCCGCTGGAATTGAAGTTGAAGCGCATCCAGAATTGTCAGTGCCAGCCACTGCAAACTCGCGTGGGCTTCAATCAGTTCCGGCAACTCTTCCACTGCCCGCATCGCCGGCTCATACATGTTAGCCAGGAGCAGCTCAATTTACAGCCGGATGAGGTGCTGCCTCTCACAGTAACCGCTTATTTCTTTCTCTATGGCGAACACTATCTTACCTATGAAATCTAGTAAGTGTTTCCAAAATCTAGATACTAAGAGCTACAACTAATTTGCCGTGCCCCCAGCACTGGTGACAATCGCAAGTTTGTGTGGAACTTCAAGCTGGAAATCACAGCCTTTGATCCGGAGCGGTGTCTGCTCACCAAGGAGCTATTGCCGATAAATATAAAAAACTTTTATCATGTTACTCAGCCGATTTGGGTCCAGAACATAACCATGGCACATCTCGCTTTTGCCTTCTCCTCGCGCGAACGCAGCTTCAAGCTGCACAACTCAAATCTGACGGTGCCCAGGCAAAGTGTTTGGCCCCTGCTGGTGGAATATCGACCCTTGGACTATGAGAATGAGGTAAGCACTAAATCTTGGAGTTCACATCCTTAATTATAAGTCAAGAAGAATTTACCTTTTATCCTATCATAAAATTGCAGAACAGTCGCAGAAAAATAGTTGAAAATCAATTAATCTTTCTTTCTATATGTAGCAAGCCGAAAACTATTTCCCGCTCTAAATCGCATTTTAATCTTCTCGCAGCTCGAGGTGATGCTGACATATGAAAACTCCAAGGCCCGGTATAAGATCAAGGCCCGTGGCGCTACTGTAGACGAGAATGAGACTACAGATATGCCGCTCAAGGACAGAGAATCCTCCGAATATCTTTACATTATCTATCCGAACCGTCTGAGCTTTGAACTGTGCATGAAGGAGATTCGCACACAGCTCGTTAATGTGCACAACTATGGACAAAAATGCATGGAGTTTCGCTGGCAAAAGTAAGTCCCAACAGAACTTCTCCAATCGCTCAAATCACTCAAATGCTTCTCTCTCTCTACTCTAGCTACATTATAAGCGATTTCTTTGCAGTCACTTTCGAACCGTCCGTCTTTCGACTGAAGGGCCATCATTCGAAACTGTGCGAGATAAAGGTAAGCGTCTTCGACCGCCTCATCTTCTTTCGCCGCATACCCATTGTGCTGGAGGTGCATCGCATACTTGATTCCGCCACGCTTATAGCCAAGGCTGAGTTGACTGAAATCGAGTCCATAGACGATCCCAAGTGGAAGGAAGATAGCTATGTGGAGCATGCCTTTCTACACCTCAACATACGTGTCCATGCGCAAAATAACGAGGAAAAGCAAGACGATCACATGTACGATATGGATGGCACCTGTGCACCTTGTGGCGGCGTGGGCATTGACCCGGGCGCCGGCGGCGATGGTTCGCCCGTTGAGCTGACCGAGGAGCAGCAGAAGCAGGCGGAACGAGAGGAGCTGGTCAAGCGTTTGTCCATGAAACGCAAGCTGAATGCAAATGAAATCATTGAATTGAGTATGGCCATCGATCATCGCATTACCATATTCGAGAAACTCTTCTGGAAATACCTATCCAAGTCGAATTTTATGCGCATCAACCCGGAACGCACACGCAACAAGTTCAACCAGACCTATGACCAAGTGGTGCTTGTGGATAACGCTCCAAGTCCCCTCACGAATATGCGCACGAACGTGGATCACAAGTGAGTAACTAGTTCCAAAATTGAAAACCTTTTTAATTTCTTGCTTATTTTTTTTTTTCCTATGCCAGCACGATTTTGTCCATAATCAGTCGCCTCATGGTGGAGGCTATAAACGATCTGGCCAAGAACTGGCGATTTATACCATCGGAATATTATGACCGTGAGCCTTAAGCTCTTTACTTTAAATGTTCAACTATGCATTGCATTGCGTTGCACATTTTGCGGCTGTGGCAGCCATTTGTGCTGTCCACATGCCGCATGCCACCGAAATTTATGTAAGATTTCGCACAGCACAGCACACGCCCAGCCGAACCACAGCTTGCCCAGCTCGCAATTTATGTCTTCGCCTAAAAGCATGCTACATTTAAAGCATTGCAACAGTCGCTGCCCCCGCGCCACACACACACACACACACCACGACAGAAAGGGAAAGGAAGCGTACATAGAGACAGTACGAAGACTTTTAAGCTTAATCGACCAATCTGACATCAAGATATGCAACACTTTCTGGCTGCTTAAAATTGCATTCATGGTAGATATCTTCTTCTGCAGAGTAAATATACATTTCAGGATTTTAAAAGCAGCACAATTAAGTCGCGTTTCCCCATATTTCTGTCAAACTGTTTGCCAAATTCAATTATGTTTTAAAAATAAAGCATACAATGCATCTTAATTGCTATTTGTTATTAAATTTAATTATTAACCTTGCTGATAAATTTAGTTTGGCTGAATTTAAATGAGAAGAACTGCTAGAAACTTCTACCATCTGCATTGTAAATAATACAATGCGAAAAGAACTCCCTTAAATTAAATAAAATAGCACTAAGTGAACTTGTAATTTACTGTGAAAGATTTATATTTGAATTCCTCGATCCCCGTTTTACTATGTAATACCGACACGACGTCAAAAAGCACACAACATGTAACACTTTATTTAACAGGCAGATTTGTCCCCCGGTTAATGTCTGTATACTTAGCAGTCAATAGTAGACCATGTTCCACAGACTCATTAGGCGGGCTTACAAAAACTTTTGATTTATCGATAATGTAATATTTTTCCAAAATACCCACTTTTGGTTAAATTTTGGAACAATTAAATTTAAAAAAAGAAATATAAAAATGCAAATTAAAACAAATATTAATTTGCTTTCGTAGGAAAACTTCTACTTGGAAAATAAAAATTATACAAAGCCAAAGGAATAATTGCCAGGCTAAAAGCTCGGAGAATACCGAAATTTAATTTATGCTTCTTAAGTCAATTTGAAGACAAAATCTACTTGTATATTAGATTTACAACTTACCAAAATTCCTTTGTTCGATTACAATCAGCTGCTCGAACTGGTTCCATGATTAAATAATTTTCCGAAAATGTTTTTAAACACATCATAGCTTTATTGAATAAATTGTTGTTTCCTTCAGTTTGTGTGTGTTCGTGTGTGTTTTTGCTGTTGTAAATTCTCAGATTAATTCATAATGAAGTTTAATTGATTTTTAATAAATCTTGCACAGAGTATACCATAAACATGCTATATAAATTTGTTTCGTTTTTGTTTTCATATTTGTGTGGTTTCTTTTTTTCTTTCTTTCGATTTCGTAAGTTAATTGAATGAAAATTCGAAGAAAATTGTTTAAGGTGTGTGAGTGTGTCAGTGTACGGTTGGGCGTGGCATTGTAGCCACGGCCCAGATGAGAGAATTCGACAGTAATTCAATAGATAAATATGCACTTTGTAATTAAATTGGAATAATTGTTGTTTCTATTATCTGACATGATTAAGTTAAATATTTGCTACTACAATACGATACGGCCCACCAATATTTTGACTATGTTTATAACGACGAGAAAAAAACTGCATAGTTTAAATACATATATATATATATATATATATATGTTTATATATATATCTGGCATAATTAGTACGTTGACTTCAAGTACTATACGTAAGCTAAACCATAGACGATAATAGAAATTATTTGAATTATTCTTCATTTTTTTCATATCTTATGCTGAATTAAATACGTTTCACATTAAATTATGCATATGTTGAGCTTGAGCTTGAAAGAACTAATGCAAGTTTTCTGTGTTTCACTTATTCTTTTCTTCATTATTTTCGTTTTTCTTCTGAATTGTTTTAATTCTCTTTTCTTCGTTCGTTTCAAGTGAATGCTTATGCTGCTTGCTTTGCATTTAACGAGAGTGCTTAAAATTAGTACCTTTGACTAAGTTGTTTTCGACTAAGTTTGGTTTATACATAATTAATTTAATATATATTTTTTGTTAGTTTTCCTTTTGCTTTAACATTTAATGCAAACATATAGAGAGAGAGAGCTTTCAATATTTACTTTACTGATGACATGCACTACGAAATTTTCATTAGATAGATATTTTTTTATTGTTAGTTTTTTGTTTGATTTTTTTTTTGCAAATTTTTTTTACCAAAGTTTTGTGTAGGTTTAAAAGAGCAGGTAATGCGGAGACTCGGTCATAAAAGAGGGTCACAATCGAAATAAAACACATTGAAAGTATTGAATTAACTTTTGAAATAGGTTTATAATAGCAGGTGTGTCTGATTGGGATGTAAATCTGTTTAGTGCTACATTTTTTTATACCTAGAATTCTTGAGCAAAATCGAAGGAAAAATCTAAAAATTAAAACAAGAAAAATCCTGTTGGTACTCACACTTAGATTACATTTGACTTCGATATTAGGGGTCATCATGATAAGAATTGTTCAACATTAGGTTTACTCAATCTATTCAATCATTCAACATTAGGGGTACTCATGGTAAAACCTTTTCGACATTGAACGACTGACATTGAACAGCACATTTAAATCAATGTTTTGCATTAAATATTAGCAAATCTTAGGGGTATTCAACGTAAGAACGACTCTAGTTGAAATTTACAGAAAATGTAAATACTCGTGTCAGTTCAGTTAGTTAAACTACGCCTAGAAGCTTATTTCATAAATGTATAGCACATCATTTAAATACTTAGATCAATTCTTGAATAGGTTGGTTTCTTTTCCCCACAGACACAGACATTTGACTATTCAACTCTCGTTTAAGTAGGTAAGTGGTGAGTTTAGGAGTGAGAGAGAGCGGTGTATTCTGTTTTGTTTGTATTTATGTGTGTATATGTATGTATGTATGTATGTATGTATGTATGAGAGAGACATTTAAAGAGAGCACTGCAGGTGCCGGAACCAGTCGCGAATGCGATTCCGGTTCCGGTTACGCCTGCAGGCATTGCACAACCTTTTTGGTTTCAAACGCGAATGTGCCTCGAAACGACGAACAAAACGTGACGACAATTTGATCGCCAGATCTTTGACATTATACGTAGGTATATGTGTATGCACTATCCTTATATTTTGGTGTAAAAGTATAAAAGTGTACCATTTTTAAACGTTTCTCATTTTAGTTAAAATTTGTGGTAACTTTTCGTATCTATATTATAGATTTCATCATTATGCTCTTTTCGTTTTTTATTCGTTTTTTTTTTTCAAGATATGCGCTTTGTTTTCTGTTTCTTTTTCCTTTTTCTGTTTCTGTTCATCGTCTTCAATCTTTCAATGTTAACATTATTGCGTTTTTCATGTAAAAATTATAAAGTTGCTCGTTATTTAGTTATTTTCTCTTTGCTTTCGTTCTTTTGCTTTAGTCTTGTTTGCATTAGTTTAACTTTCTGTTATCAGATCCTTTGCGGCTTGTCATTACGTATTATTCATTCATTTTTCTTTGTATATTATTGTGCGGTGTTTTTGTTCGTTACCAATACCGTTAAGTATATAATATGTATATATAATATAATATATTGTATATATAGTATTCATGTATATGTTTAAATTTTTAAAATACTTTCTTGGTTTTTTTTGTTGTTTATTCTTAGGTTTTTTCTTCATATATTATATTTATAAAACATTTTCATCTTAAAAAATGTATATAATCGATTGCTTTTTGTTGTTCTTCTATTTGTTGCCGTTTTTTTTTTTTTTTTGTTATCATTACTTAATTGCATTACGCATTCTGCATTCCCCTTTTCCAATTCAGATCGCACATGCACAAAAATGTGTGTGCCTGATTATAAAAATCGGGTTTCTTGGTGTTTTCTTCTTATAGTTTTTCTTGAACCTGCTTCAAATTCAATTCATTTTTTGTTCTTACTTTTGGAAGGTTTTGTTCTTATACATTGCATTAAAGCAACGAGTTTATTTTTTTTTGGTATTTTTATTATTATTTTTTTTTTTTTTTTTGGTTTTTTAAATTTCAGTCAAGCGTTTGCGCATGAATGTGGGTATTCGAGTGCCTCAAGTGATTCGAATGACTGAAATAATTCGAATGAATTTATATGATTCTCTTCACTTGGTGTCTCTGAATGAGTTCTGTATTTGTGAAAATAAGCCATTTAGCTCTACAAATATTAGGAGGCTGGGGCCTATTAACTACACACACATACATACTTAATAATCGTAATCGTAATCGTAAATATACATACATATCATTATCATTTTTGGTTTTGTTTTGTTAATTACTTTTTAAATAGTTGCAATAAATTTACTTGACGTATACATGAAAGTGTTTTGTGATTTATGCCATGAGTTAATATATATTTATAATCATTTTTCTGGTATGTATGTATATGTATAAACATTTAAAATTTGCAATACACAACATCAATATATTGTTAATCATATATAATATACTTTTTTGTTGTTGGTTTTCTTTTTTTGGTTTTTATAAATAGTTATAGATTTTATATAGAGTTAATATATAGCATAGTTTAATGTGTTTCAACATTGCGAATTATTTAGGGATGACGTACACGCAGGAATTAGGGGTTAGAAAACGAATAGATAAACTAATATGACTATGATTAAAACAGTTTCCTGACTCCGGCGGCATTATGAATGCGTTAAGTTGGTTAAAACCTCAAGGTAAAGGTAAAATAATAATAGAATCTTTCAATAGAATATCATAACAAGATCTATTCGTATTTCTCTTTTCTTTTTTGTTTTTAAGGACTAGTACATTTAACTAGCTTTGCAAGGAAATCTCTCAAGCACCATGTTTTCATGTTATAGAACTCTGATCATACATTTTCCCATATCTGCGGTTATCTCTCGCCTGGCTTTTTAAATGCATATATCATTTGTCGAAAGGTTCCGATAATTCCTTCTCAACAGTTCTTTTTAATCACTTTTAAGGTAAATCTTTTTCACTCGTTTTTCTTTCTTAAGAATTTTTCTTCTGCATACAAATTTTTCGTTTTTCTTTTATATTTAATTTGGCAATTTGTTTTGCTTTAATTGTTTGTTCCTTTATTATTGCTGTTTCGTTTTTTGGTTTAAACAAATTCGTTTTGCTGAAACGCGTTTTGTCAATTTGTTTTTGCTAACTACGTACTTTTTGAGTTACGTTTTTAGCTTTTGTTTTTTTAGGGAGGGAATTTGTTAGAGATTTTCTCTGATTTCTCAAATTTTTCGAATGGCGTGCATACACATTTTTTAGCTGGTTTTCGTTTAAGTTATTTCTTTTAAAATTGTTTGTTAGTTGTGATTTATTTATTATGTTATTGTTATAGCCTCTTTTTGTTTTTGTTATTAAAATTCAATTTAGTTTATATGGGCTTTATAGCATTAAATTTTTCTTAAACATTTATTCGTTGTATTCGAAAAATTCTCTGTATATTTAGCTCTTGGTTTGTTTATAGATTTTGTAATTTTTTGTTGCACATTCGATTTCGTTACTCCTCTCGTCAGGATAGATTCATAAATAGTTTAACATAGTTGGGAATTGGATAAGTTTTAACACATGACACATGATTAGATGAAGGTTGTGAATTTAATAATTAAATATTTTAATAAAAAGTGTCTTTAAGTATATAATAATGCAATACGATCTTTATTTTAAGCAAGAGTTACACATTTACTCGTATATGTATATGTATATATATCTATATAAACAAATCGCGAACATATGTCGAACTTGGGGCCATTCTCTTTAAATGGTTCCGACCATATGCCAAACGTTTCCGTTTTATTCTTTTAACGTATTTCAGTTCTGTTTTTTTTTTTCTTCTTTGTATTTATACATTTATCAATAGACTTAAATATTCTTCTGTTTGTCATGTTTTTGGTGGTTTTGGCCTTTCAGTTTTCATTCCGCCAAATTTATTAAACTATTTCTAGAGTATGTTGCTTTCTTCAAACAAAAACTTAACCATAAGTTGTTGGTTGCATTAGCCCTTTTTACTAAAGGCGACTAGACTTTGATGTTAGTGCAAATTAAACACGGATACAAAAGACGTGTGTGTTTAGTGAGGGTATTCGTAAAAAATATAATGGCTGAGCTTTGCCTGTTTATCGGTAGATAAACTGAATTTAACGAACTTAGCGAACAAAAATAAAAAAAAACAATATTAAACAAATATAAATTTCAAATTTGTAGCAACAAAATTTCAAAAATGTCTGTGTTTATAAACTTTTCCACAAAAAAAAACCCGAAATAATTGCATCATACCCTAATTTACCTAACTTGAATAGGTAGTGGGTATATGCAGTATTTTTTAAAAAACTTTAACTCAAAAATTTAAAAAACTTTTGCAAAAAGTAAAACTGATAAATTATGAAACAAAAATAAAACAAAATATATATATATATATATGTGCCTATATATAGACAAAAAACAGTTGAATAGAGAAAATATATAAAAAGGGATTTACCAGTCGCTGCTAATCAGTATCAATTAGAAGAACCAATTTGACCAGGATGGCATAAATGAGGATTGATAGTTGTTATTGCTGTTGTTGTTGTTGTTGTTATTGTTGTTCTTGTTGCCAGCTACTGTTGCTGTTGAGTTGCCCAACAATGCCGCGTTGCCAGCAGCACTGCGAGCCGCATTGGAGCCGCTGGCTGCATTGCCAGTGCTGCTGTTGTGATTGGACGTGGCAGGGGCACCGCTCCCAGCTGCACTGTTGGCCACATTTGTGAGGAACTGGGCAAATTCCTGCTGCAGCTGCAGCTGCTGTTGCAGCAGCTCGAAATGATTTTGTGGCTTATTGTATATGAATTTCGTGGAAGTTTTCAATATGCTGCCAGAGCTGGTTGAGCAGGCGCCGGCATCGCCATGCGACGTGGCATTGGACGAGGTGTTGTTGTTGTTGCTGCTGCTGCTGTTGTTGTTGCTGTTGTTGTTGTTGTTGTTGTTGCTGCTGCTGCTGCCGTTGCTTATAAATGTTGTTATGGTATTGTTGCTGCTTGTTGGTGGTTTGCTTAGACGATTGTTCGCAGTGGCTGTTGTTGCTGCTGTTGCAGTTGCATTTGCTTTTGTTGCTCCTGCCAAAAGTGGCAGCGAGTGATTGTTGTTGTTGTTGTTGCTGCTGCTGCTACCTGAAGTTGTCTGCTGTTTTTGTTTGTTAGTTTGGTTGCTGTTGTTGTGTTGTCTGTTGTTGTTGTTGCTGTTGTGATAAGCATGTTTGCCAAATTGATGGGCAGCATTATTGTTTCTGATGCTACAGATGTTGCTGTTGTTGTTGTGATGCTTGTTGTTGTTGTGATTGAGCACCAAACTATTGGCAGCCAGCGCCGCTGCCGCCGCATTGGCATTGACAACAGCAGCCAACTTGGTTAATAATTACGTTTGCTTATTTTTGTTGGTCTTGAAGCTGACCTGAAGTACCCGATTGCCCAGCGTGTAGCCATTGAGCGACTGTATGGCCAGCACAGCCTCCTCGTAGTTGGTCATGGTAACAAAGCCAAATCCCTTGCACTTGTTGCTCTGCAAATCGCGTATGACCTGTCGATTGAAAAGAACAACAGCATATATATAATTGAAAGCCTATATTAACGACTTGTCAGCTGAAACGCACCTTGACGGATTGCACAGCACCAAACGGCCCGAAGAGCTGCCAGAGCACATTCTCCTCGGTTTCGGGCGCCAGATTATAGACGAAAATGCACCAACCAGAGCTAGTTATGGTATTTCCTTGAATCATGCCATTGGTAATTAAATCACTGGTGAGCGGCGAATAGCGTGAGATCACAGAGCTAGGATAGAAAGAGACAAAAAATAGATAAGTAAACGAGTCTTAAAAACTGCAGCAAAGCGAAGCGAGAAGTGATCAAAGAGCAATGCCCACAAGTGCCATTAATCTGCTTCCTCTGCAACCCTTTGAATAATTGAAACGAGAAGCAATTTGGCTGCAGGGTATTGTGACAGTTGTTGCTTCTCACTTCAACCAAGATGTATCAATATTTTATATAAATATCTATTATAATCTACTAATTGCCTATGTAGCTTTTCGAGCTGTAAGCCATATTCATACTGAATTCGACCAAATTGGTAAAATCTATTGATGCCTTTATATTTTATAATTACCTAGGTATCTTTCTTTGCTTCAACTAATTCTATTGAGTAACTTGTATTCTATTATTGTACAATATTTTTGGTAAAATATTTCCAGATAAAGTTGAAATTTTCTTACTTGCTGCATCTCACTTCGTACCATTAGCAATCTACGGATTCTAAACTCTTCCCTTTTTATGCCTAATATAAGCCATGTTAATCCATAAAGCTAATAAGTAGAGGGTTGTTTCGTCTCTCTCTCTGCCCTGTTCATTTTCTTACACTACTTGAGGTCATATCAAACTGCATCTTTACTTGCTTTGCTGACCTGTAACGGCCCGCGTTGGGATGGATGGCGGCAGCGGCTGCTGCTGCTGCGGCGCCGGCGGCTGCGTTTGCTGGAAAGGTGCGTCCGCCGCGCGTATTTTGTGGCGCTATGTAGGCGGCCAGGGGCTGCATGCTGTTCTTGTTGCTGCTCGGATTGTTGGCAAACTTAACGGTTATCGGTTCGGTGGAATTCTTCGGTGTGGTGCCGTTTAGCTCCTTGATGGCGCGATCTGCCTCAAAGCGCTGATCGAAGCGTATGAAGCCGACGCCCTTGGAGAGACCTAGGCGAAAGAATAAGCAAAAAAAAGAATACTTGTTAAATATCGTTTATACTTAAATCCAGTTTTCACAGCTAGCGAACACAATGCGTATGAATTTGCAGCGGTTTGATCATTGGCTTACAAGGCGCCGCAATATTGAAGCCAAAAAAAAAAACAATAAATTATAAATACAAGTTAAATGTGACTTATACATACTGTCGGGGTGGTCAGCGTGCGCTTCTTTTCGGTATTATTTGAATTTGTTGTTGGTGTTTTGTGTAGTTTTGTGTATTGTTGGAAAAATAAAAAAAAATAAAATGCATTAGTAACAAATTATAAACATAAATGCTAAATCAAAAATATGCTTTTGCGTATAAGGTACAAATAACATAATTAAAATGAAAAACATTATATTAAATAAACATTTACTAGTCAAACATGCTTAACTTGAAGATACCCCCCACCCAGTTGAAGTCCCAACAATTGCTGCATCAGCATGAAACTTCTTGAGTCACAATGTACGATTATTAAGAAAAATGTAAGCCAAACCCGAGAAGCGCATCAGAATCAGATGCTTTTATTGGGTCCTATATTGTAAACCTTCTAAATAAACCTGAACTGCGGATATACTTAAGCTGTATCGATTGTATGAACGTAAATAAATTTAAATTTAGCAGAGATAATCAAGAATACAAAATGAAATGAAAAATTAGAAATTTTTGAAGAAGTGTGTTCATTCCAAATTAAATTTATTTTATATATTATTATTGCTAATCTTCTTTTGATAACAATACAAATTATTCATTAAATAATTTGCAATTTTCTTCATAAACAGCTTATTTTACGGAAAAATCGTTATCCAAGATTAAAATGTTTCCTGGGCTTTAACTATTTCCACCTAGAATCACGGACTTTACCTAATCTTGTCTCCTCTTTATTTGATTACACCAAGTACAGGATAAAAACTAAACAAGTTTAAGTAAATAAAATCAACACACGCCCACAAAACAGGCAATAAGCACTAAATGAACTCAAGAGAAGCAACCGAATTAATGCCAAGCAATGTACAAATGAGAAATTGATGAATTGCGATTTAAACAGCTAAACAAAAATTAAAAACCTACCCGCCGCATGTTCATCTGATAGTTGTGTGTGTTTAGTTTGTTTCAATTATTTTTGTGTTCATGAAAAAATAAAATTGTAAACAAATTTTTTTGCATTATTAAAGAAATGTCAACTTATAAAAGTGTAGCGCCAGCAAAATCTCAAAACAAACTGTGCGCTCTAAGGGCAGAAATAATGCCAAGCCAGCATAATGACACTTAACTCTATTAGTTAAGATAATATATATATTAAGATAATACATATATTATTGTGTTAGATATAATTAAAATAATTGGGGCTGCAAAGTCCCACAAATTATAAGGAGGAACACAATCTCTCATGAGATGGCAAGATAAACAATTCGGAAATATGCTGGCTTATTCTGCATATACAATAACTTATATATATATATATATCGCTTATATAGCTGAGACATGCCTAGGACATGCCTTAATTATACTTGAATTAAATATACTTTGTTTAAACTTACCAGTGATATTATCACAAAGTATGCGCGAAGTTATGATCTTGCCGTATGGACTAAACAATGATTCCAAGTCGGACTGTGTCATATTCTTTGGAAGACCCGATACATATAAATTGGCACCCTTAATGCTCTCCGAGCTGGGACGCGCAATGGAGACCTAAATTGGCAATAACATTAAATATGTATGCACATATATGTATATATATTATATGGAAACTAATTAGGGTATTTACGATAGACAGATGGCTGGCTAGGGATTTCAACTCTATAAAAAGTTTCATCATTTTATATGATTAATATAAACAAATTTGGACTTCGATGCGTTTAATGGATAATGTTGATTGATAAAAGGGTGTTTAGGCCAGACATCTGCTAGCGTGAATACCCCTTAGTTTTATTAAGCGCACCTTTATGGTTTTGTTTTGCAGACGTAGACCGTTGAGTGCATTGATGGCCTTCTCCGCATCCTCTTGCTTGACATAGTTCACGAAGCCATAGCCCAGACTTTGACCTAGCCGAACGACATCAAAGATTAACGAATTAGTCAGTTCGAAATAGTTGGTTAATTTTACGCACCTGTCACCTTATCGCGTATCAACTTGCAGCTCTCCACCTCACCGAAGCTCACGAACAACGAACGTATTTCGTCCTGCGACATTGTTTGCGGCAAATAATTCACTATCAAATTTGTTTTGGGATCCGGTTCGTTGTTGTTGTTATTGTTGTTATTATTGTTGTTTGTTGCTACAGTGTTGTTGTTGTTATTATTGTTGTTGGCTGCTGCATTATTGGCCGTTGCTGCTGGGGCAGAAGCCGCAGTTACTGCGGCCACAGTGGAGCCCGAGCCGCCATTCTGCTGGGCCTGACTGTTGGCCACGTTGCCTGCGGTGGCGCCACCGGCTCCAGCCGCGTTGCCACCTGTGCCACTACTGGACGAGCCAGTGCCCGATTGCTGCTGCTGTTGAACCGCTATCTGACCCTCAACCATTTCGCTGCTGCTGCTGTTGGTACAGGACAAATGTGAGCTTTAGTGTGGAAACTTTTGGCTTAACTGTGGTGCAAAAGCAAAGGCGAAGAGTTTAAGGAAATAAAAGTTATAAGCCTTGACCCAACTAAACTTTACTGAACCTATTCAATTAATGAGGTCGACAAAAGAGCAAGCTGAGAAAATTCTTATATGATTGCAGAATATACATTCTATATACACTTTCAACTTTTAACTAATATTAGACAATTTTCTTAAATAAAATTCAAACTCAATTTTCTGATCTATTTTAAATAAAGTTCCCGATTGTAAGTAAAGAAAAAAAACGGTTTCCTTGAAGAGGATATTATAATTCTTTCATTGACCTTTCTTAAAGTTTAGAAATGGAAACTTTTCAGTAAAAAGAGCTTGTTTAACATTTTTGATTTGCTCAATCAACTTGTATCTAACTTAATTCCAAAAAAGAACAAACTAAATGTCTGCTCAACTTCAGTTCACATTTTCTAAAAACCATTTTTAAAGAAACCCAGTGAAAGCTAAGTTAAAAAATGGCTCCTAACTGGAATAAGTATAGTTTAGTTGGGAAAATAAAGTGCAAAAACTTTACTGCTTCTTTTCTGTTTAAATGAAAATAAACTTGAACTGTACACTATTTGGATAGTTAAACAGAGTTCTCTTTTAGATAATACTGCTGTAACGCGTTTCAAAATCTGCAATGAAAAGGAAGAAAAATATAACGATTAAGTAAAATTATACTATATTTTCTATATAGACCAATTTTTATTCAGTTTCAGCACTTACCTAGCACGTCGCACGAGACGAGCAAACGGAAGTGGAAAATAGAAATTGATTTAAGCTGAACCGTTTACTATAGCCTAGTTATAAGTGCCCTCAACTGAGTGCACACTGCGTATACGTTATATATGTTTGTCCGAAAGTTAACTGCAACAAAGAAAATGCAAGTGAAATCAATTATTTTAATTTAATTTAAATGGCATGCAGTCCAAAATAGTCGTGGGCGTGGCCAGGCCGATGGCCAAGCTGATGGGCAACAGCTAACATGTTTCAACATTTTTAATGAATACCTAGAAATGTCAACGTGGTCTATTTGCATTTGCCGTCGTTGTTGCTGCATGCGGGTACTAGAAACTGATCCGAAAATTGACAGAAAAATCGATGTAATTAAAATGACGCACAGCCTAATTGGAAGCGGGGCCAGGCAAATGGAATTGCAAATAGTTTCGCAATTAAAATAGGTCAAAGGCAAAAACGGATAATCGCCAAAAAGAAAAACAAGCTGATTTACAACCAATAGAAAACTAAAAACCTACCCGATAACATCAAAGTTATATAATATAGTAGTAATATAAATTGAAGGGCATATAATTGCGAAATTAAAACGACTTAATTAACAATTCCATTTATAATGATTGCCTTAAGGGATATAAGGGCCAAAGAAGGGGATAAAAAGTATTACGCAGGAATAACAACTGATTAGATAAAACCCTGATCGCCTGTCTCTTTGTTAATCAAAAAACATCATTTTACAAAGCATTCCAATGGTCGTCAGAAATTCTATAATAAAAACTGAATCTTTCACAAATACAAGCATTCTGGTAAACAGGTAAAAAACTCTTGTAATAACCCACATCTCCCAGAGAATTTAAGAAGCAAATGGTTAAAAATTATATAAAATATTAATTACAAAATGGATGATTTAGCAACAATAATAGCTATTATTTGGCACATGTATCTAAGGTTAACCCAAATATTAATTTGAATTTATGGAACTTGTGCTACGTGGTTTGAGATTCAAATCTCAGGCCAGTGTATGGCTGTGCTGTCTTGGCTAAAAGTTCGATAGTCTATAGTTATGCCCCTTTAATACTATTAACTATTGTTATTATTCGTTTTAAATCTGTCAAGAAAATGTTCATTCCATTCTATGTTCTTCCGGTGCAGCTTGCCTTGCAACTGTGCCCCCATAAATCTTTGATTATACTCTGAATAATATCTGCTGACTCAGCTGATTTCCTGTTGAGCTGCCCAATTGAGCATTATTCTCTTTGGGTTTAGAATAAGAGCAATAAGCACCCAATAAATCGAATTGTTTGCAACTGATGAAAGCCAAATGTAATACATACTGCGAACAAATATATATCTAGCTTTCGTGTGCACATATCTACAAAGATTGATCCAAAAGTTTGGACAGCAGGTGCATTGTTTCGTGGAAATGAGAGGGAAATTTTTTATAGGTATACTGAACAAAATTCTATAGTATCTATGTTGATTAGCAGCCATAATTTATGGTCATAATACAAGCGGAAAGATTAGAGAAATAAGGTGCCTTTCCTGTGACAATTCTCAATTATAGTTAATTATAATGTTGACGAATTTAATTAATACTAATATCTGTGCAACAACAAAAACACAGTTCACGAAAAATTAATATTAATCCAAAAATCCTTCAAATGAGCCCTTTTAATGGTTAAAGTTTTTGCATCATAATTTTCAGATATAAAGGTAGTTCAACCCAGCTTTTTCAATAGTTTAAGATGTAATTTTAAAAAATAATAATAATACACAAGCAAAGAGAACGTTAAACTGGTATTTTACTAGAAATGCATAATATAAGCTTCAACTTAAAAATTAATTATAAGATGTTTTTTCTAAGCTTCCACTATAGAATAGTCTACACCTAATCAATCCGCCTAATCCATCTAAGCCATATTGTTGTCTAAGCCTTTTCAATGTCTGTGGCCTTCACCTACTACGTATTTATTCCGCTATATGCTGTATGCCAACTTGTTCACCTTTGCCGTGTTTGTTTTTTTTTGACCAAATATTTTCTTTTATTTTCTCTTCCATTTTCTCGGGCTGGCAGAACGCAAATCGTGCGAAAAACTAATATTTTAAAAATAAACAAACAACTGGCGGGCAGGGGATCGCTCTGATACGACGGCATATGTATTGAGAGCCGGCAGAAGTACCAAGAATTATATTTTCGAAATATTTTTAAAATAACAAAACGAATGCGATGAAGACTTTGTCGCTGCTGCTGTTGCTGCTGCTGCTGCTGCGACGCACTTTTGAGGTTAAGTGGCAATGGGAAATATATAAAAATATTGAAATCGTTATTCATGCCGTCAATTACAAGTGGAAATTACATAAATGCAAAAAAAAAATATTGAAAATATTACCTTTGAATTTGAAATCAAATTTAAAATTGAGAAATGTAAATAAAACTTGTTGCTCTTTGAATTTCGATGCGATTACGAAACACTTTTTTTTATTTTTATTTTTTTTGGGGGGATTGCTTATGCTACTTTTGTAATAATCGAAAACAAACAAACCGAGAGATTTAGGCGAAAACTTATGCAAAATAATTGGCGTTTGATTATGTTTTAGTTTTGTTTGGTATTTGAAAAAGTTAACAAAACGGCGAAAAACGAAAAACCAAACCAAACTAAACTAAAGCCAAACCGAACCGAACCGAACACGAAACAAATGTTTAACAGTAATAATAATAATAATAACGATAATAATAATAATAATAAGGAAATAAAATCAAACGGAAAGTAGAAAAAGAACACGTTCCTGCAACTCAACAGAACAGAAATAAACTGATTCAGCGAGCGGAATGGAAAGTATTTTTATGCCGTCGCCGCAGTGAAAGACAAACGGCAACAAGAAGAGTCGAAACATCGCATAGCCATGGGGGCAGAGAGTGAGAGCGTGAGTGTGAGAGTTCTTTGTATATGTGATGCGGGAGTGAGAGAGCACTTTGCAATGCTCTTTGCATTTTCCATTGTATGTACGCGTGTGAAGAGCAAGGCCTGCACCTAGCGGGTGGTTGTGTATAGATCAGAGTGCGCTCTATGTAAGCATACATGTATGTACGAATGTCTATAAAAGCTGATGATGACATGTCTATGTACGAGGAAACCACAGCGCAATAATTGGATTATATGTAAAATGGCGAAGTAACAGAGAGGCATGCTATGCCACATTATGCAAAGCACTCAAACTAACATTTGAAAATAACAGAAACAATACAGCTGTTAAAATATATGGTATATAACGACATGTGTTTGCAAATTAAAAACAGCTGCCAATATCTGATATCATATACGCATCAACTTTCTGTACTGTCTGATTATGGCATTTTAATAAATGAGCTTTTAGTTTTAATTAAATATAATGCATTTCACAGTTATGCTACACAGGATATTCTGCATAAAGAGTTTATGCTCAAAAGTGAAGAGAATTTTACTAGAAAGTAATGATAGCTTTAATAATGATCATAATAATAATAATTACCAATAATAAAAATAAAAAATATGCAAACAGTATTTAAAATATAATAAATAAAAAATAAAAAAAATGGCTCCAACTTCTATATACACGACAGCTAGGTTTATATACATAAGTATATACGATTTGTAAGATACAGTAAAGAATATAAGAAGGGGAAAGATCACCTCCTTTGGCTTAAGGCATGGTGTTGAATCTCTAGTCTATAATAGAAGACAGAGCTAATTTTTTGATAGTTTAGGCAAGATTCAGTAATTCTGCGCTTTTTGAAATACAGTTAAAACTATACTAACGGACACTCCTTTAAGGGGCACACGCCTCTTGAGGCTGGCTATCCGCCCAAGGGAATTATCACTGTATAGTACTAATTATGCATACACATGTACATAGGTAGTTGTTAAAATAATAGTTATCCCTTAAACAAAAATATTAATAGTAAATTTAAGATTCAATAATTTTCCACATGTCAATATTCACCCCACATTTTAAATATTGTCGATCTAAGAAATGAACTTGATTACTTGGAATTTTAAAGTTCTTCCTAGTTATTTTTTCGTTTTCTAAAAACTTCTGTAAAAAAAACTAAACAGGACTCAGAATGTCAGTCCAATATAAAGGTTAGATTTACCAAGCAGCAACTACTTTGTATATTACCCTGCTAAGGCCAAAGTACATTGAAATGAACGTCACCTAAAAAATAAACTGCACCTACTCACAGAAGAATACGCCCCTTTCTGCTGCACCGCCCACAAAACTAGTGTAACATAAACCGGCAATTTTCATTCATAAATTGTTTAAAATTGTTTCCGCTTAATAGACGCTTACAAAAGCGCAGGATATAGCGAAAGCTTCTTTCGAACGACCACCCCTTTGTTGCCACCCTTCACCATTACGCCCATCGAGCAAGCAATGCAAAGTGGCTAGAAACCGTTAGAACAAAACAAAAAAGTGACACACCTTGCAGCAGGCAAAAGCAAAAGCCAAAATCAGCCGAAGTCCCATGCAATAGGAGGAAGAAGGAGCAGAAGACAGCAAGAGGAAAGCTAGGCAACGTTGCTGTTGCTTTTGGGTGCGGCAAAAAGAAAAAAATAAAGAGAAAGAGAGTGAATGCAGCCGCAGCGCAGTCAACAGCTGCAGCAGCAGCTATCAGCTGAGCGCGCCTTAAGATATGCAATGTATAGAGAGCACAAGAGCATAAGCTAGAGAGCACGTATAGCTGCAAGCGGCGACGCCAACGTCGACTGCGTTTTTTAGGTTAAACGGCGACTGCAGCCGGCGCTGCACGAAACGCAGCTGTATTTGTGTATGGGAGTGTAAGTGTGTGTGTGTAGGCGGTATTTGGCAGCAAAGTGTAGAGAAATGCGCTCAGCGACGCAGGGCCGCCCATTGAGCCAAGTTTTTACTATCGTGAGTGTGCATGCATGCACATATATATGTATGTATGTGTGTGTATGTAAATGCGAAAAATCGACCATGGGTGTGGGCACTTTACATGCTAATATGCAATTACAAGCACAGAAACAATTGGTCATTACATTTTTTCTTAGTTAACCGTTGCTTACTTTTGTTGCATTTGGCTGAGTGCTAGAAAGAGCGCCGCAAAAAAATTCTTCACTTATTTTTCACACAATTTTAGCGCAGGTTTTGCTTTATATTCTTTAGAAAAATTGGAATTTTGTTCGTTTTAAATGAGTTTTGAAGTACACGCACAAAATTGTAGATTTGAACCGATATACACAATATACGATGCATACATATGTGTATGTGCATGTATGTACATATATATGTAATTATGTGAGTATGCTAGATGTGTGTATTATACCGATATACAACAATTTATAAACGACGACGATACGACGATAATCAAAAAACACAACTTGCTGCCGGAGAGTGCAAGAACTAAATGATTAAAGTGTTCAATTGCCGCCAGGATAAATGCAGCCAGGACAACGAAAACGTCGAAGTCGACGCCAACAGCGCAGCTAACTGCTGCAGCTAACTGCTGCAGCTACTCTCTCCCCATTGGGCCGTACAGTTGCGCGGCTGCACGGACGAGACGAATGCTGAAACAAAACTGCGTAGTTTTTGCACAGCACAGTGGAGCAAGGTAAGCCTTGTCTAAGCTAGGCCTATTTATTTAAAAATTTAAATTTTATGAGAGTTTTTTTGACATTGCGCTGTGTTTTTAAGGACGTTTCATCAGGGTTTGCTAAACCCTTTGCAATTGGTCTATAAAAACCAATCAATTTAAAGTTGATTCATTTCTTTTAATCTACCTATTTCTGCTTTGGAAAATTAAGGCTACCAAATATTAGATGTTTTCAAAATGGAACCCGTTTACTCTTATTCGGAAAAGAACCCTGCATTTTCTATACATACATTGGTACATACATATATGTATTCTAGAAAAGATTATACTATTTCATATTTCGATAGTCAATAATAATCTACAAAATAAATTATATTTAAATATAAAAATAAAAATACAAATATCGATAAGCGTTAAATTATTATAATATCAAAAGTCGGAACTCTGAGCTATAAGTTGCGCACCACTGTTCGGGCAACACAAAATTTGCTATATTAATAGGAGAAGAAGAAGCGGAAGATGAAGCGACACAACAATAACAAAAGCTGCAGCGCCGAATGCGCAGGTACAGCAGCCCCAGCAGCGACGCTAACAGCGTCAGCAGAAGCAGAAGCGCACTCGCTGCAACAGTCAGTCAACAATATAACGGTACTGCACATGCTCTTTGCTGTGTGAATTAGTTGCTCTCTCTCGCTCAATCACGCTCCATCACTTAGCCGAATACCCTACATTTGGATACAAAACATAAACAAGGAAATGCAGCGACGACTAAACAGATTGCGGTAGGTTCTCTGCTAGGGAGGAAGGAGAGATAGCGAGAGCGCGAGAGAACGCCGGCCGCATAACAGCAGCGAGCTAACGTTGGGCCAACAGTCTAAAAGGCACCCAAACAAACAGTAAAACCATCGCGGACACTAACACACAAACACACAGTAACAAAGGATTTGCAAGCATAGAACGGCAGCTGACTGAGCTGCGAGCGAGCGGCGGGCAAATGAGCCGAAAGCCGAGTGGCGACTGCACCAGGCAAAAGCAGCAGGCAAGAAGCTCAACTTGACATCATTTGTGTCAAAAGACCATTGAACTCTGTGCGGGGGAAGTTTTACCTCTACACTCCTCCCCCTTCAACTCATAGCAAGCTCTATGCATTGTTTTGTTGCTGTTGTTGCGGCGCTCTATGTGGCGCAAGCAGCAAGTGTTTACATGTAAATACATATAAACACATACTTAATACGTATGTGTAATTTGTATGTATGTGCGAATTGCTATAATCTCTACTAAAGCAACTGCCGCGTAGCAAAACTGTGCAGACAACAGTAATTAAAATAATTCACATTTTTACCAGTCCCCTTATAACTGTAGCTTCTTATATGATTGTTACCCCAAATGTTTTGGTCGATATTTAATAGCTGCTCTCACAATAAACATATTAATAAAAATTTTTTTTTTACGTTTGTTGGCAACTGCTCAAAAATAAATATTGTACGCAGTTATTCTGCTGATGAGACATTTGCCTGATAAACTAAGGTATTGTCCGTAGAACATTATATTCAAATAGTTAAACTATTTGCTACTTTACTTTAAAACTGCAAAGTTCTTGCAGCACTTGCAAAACCTATGCAGCTTTTTACAGCCACAAGCTGTTGTTGCCTGGTATTTTATGCTCAAAAATTTGTAGACTTAATAAAAGCTGTAAAGCTTTCAAAGTGCACGCAACCTGCATTGCTTCGGAGACTTTAACAACTACAAGTTTGCGCATACATGCACAAGAGTGCATTGATGTATAAGAGCGGTAGAATACAAATTAAGAGACTTACCTTACGCTAGCTGATTCCAGTACGTCAGATATTGTTGCTGCTCCTGAAACGGATGTGGAGGGTGAACAGCGTCTGGATACTGTGCTACACGGCATCTCTTAATACACTGAACGCCACTCGTATGCTGATACTGTTGTTGTTGTTGACTTTCCAGCGGCAGCTGTTGCTGTGCATGGTTGTTATTGTTGAGCGAACACTGCGTGTAGGTGTTTGTTTCCATATAATAAACACTTCCATGATAGTTGGCAGTGTCGTCCGGCCCAGCAGCCATGTACGGCCCACTATTGACAGCGGGCCACTGTGCGCTACAGTGGTGCCACTGCTCTGTCAGCGCTGTAGCTTGTTCAAAATGTTGAACCCAATGCCAATTTGGTACTTGCGCAAATGGATTCTCCTGGATCCACGCCTGATGAGTGGAATTCATTTCAGGCTGCTGCTCATAAACTTTATCGTCTGCCCACTGTTGACCCCGATACTGCGGGACTTCTGTCTGGCTGGCATCTTTGTTTGCCCACTGTGCCACCTGTATTGTGGACGGTTTGGGTAGCGGGGACCAGGGTTGTATGCCAGGCAATTGAGCTGACGACAGTTGGTTGCTGGAAAGTTGCTTCTTTATATCGGCGACCCACTGTGCGCTCTCGCTGCAGGCTTCGCCTGCATTTAGCTCCGGCTCTGCTTTTACATGCTGCTCGGCCGGCGAACGCAGCAATTCAGCAAAATCAAATATCAGCGGCTTTTCCAACGTCGACTCCACCGAGCCGAACGAGCTGTTCAACGAGGAGAGGGGTGTTGGATTTTCCCGTATTATCGCTTCCAGTTCAGCAGCTTCGGATGCGCGTCTTTGCGCCATAGCGTTTGCTTTCGTTCTGCGCTTGCGACTGCGCCGCTTGCTGCGCCGCGCGCTCTTTTTGGCGGCCCTCTCATTCTGCACGTCCTTTTCCAGTTTGGCTCTGCCATCGACTGACTGGGACTGACGGAAGCAGGTCTCACATAGCTTGTCCTCGGCGCGACGTTTTTGATTCTGTCGCTGGCGCCTGCGACGTTGAGTTTTGCTTTGATAATTCGCTGCCGCAGCAATTGCAGCCTCAACATTTACTCTTCTTTTTTGTTCCATGTTGCACACAAAAACAAAACAAGCGAGACACGTGCACAGCTTGAAATCAAAATGGCGCGCAAACAACAAATATGCACGCGAATTCTTGCAAAGGTATTTATTGTTGGTTCGTTGCGCTTTGGCTGTGCCTTGAGCGCCAGCTTGATTGTTTAATACAAACTTAATAAGAAAAGTTAGGCACACAAACAAAAACAAAACAAAAATAAGAAAAAAATTACAAAATGTTTAAAAAAGCTGCGCCACAAGCACACGGCAAAACTACAAGAAAGCAAGTGTTGAAAATGGTTAAAGTTTGCCAACGGCGCTTTACAGCACAGTAAACGGTTATTTTTCTGCTATATGCAGCGCCGACAATTTGCTTAGCTGTTTTCTTAACAGCAGCTGTAAAATTAGCTCAGTCCTGTTAAGTTTAACATGATGTTGTTGACTCCAAATGAATTCGCCGGCAATGAGGTTGCGGTGTGGCGGTAAAAATGGAAAACCTGCTGCGCGCGCAATTTAAAATAAGTAAACGGCCTTTTTAAATGTTACAATTTTGGTTTTTTTATTTTGATTTATCAACTACTGTTACGGTAATTGCATATTAAATTGGTTGTTGTTCTTGTTTGTTGTTGGTTTTGTTTTGTTTTGTTGCTTAAACTTTAATAAGTGTACTTGGTTTTTGCTGCTGCGGTTGTTGTTTTGTTTTTAACTCGTTTTGTCATTTGTACAAAATATATAATATATATTTTTTTATTACTTATATATGTATCATTTGTTACCTTTACTATGTTAATGAACAGTTTCGTTTTGTTATCAATTGTTGATTTTGCTGTTGCTGTTTCTCGTTTTCTTTCCTTTTTTTTTTGTTTTTTTTTTTTGTCGAGCTTAAAACTTAATTCTGTTGGTTTTTTACGGTTCGTTTTGCTTATATTTTGCACTACAATAACGCTTAACAAAATATAATTATTAACTATGTTTCGCTTCTTAAATCGTCTAGGCGCATTTTCGTTTCCTCTTGTTGTTTGTTTTTTTTTCTTTTTGTTGTATTTTCTTTATTTTTTAATGATTTTTAAATTTATTATTTGTAATATTTATTGCAAGATTGCTGCTTGTTGTTTTGTTGTTGTTGCAGTTTTGAAAAAATTTAACTATAATTCATGGTTTTTCTTTTAGTTGTATATATATAAAAATATATATATATATATATTTATATATTGTATGTATATGTGTATGTATATATATTTATCGATATACATATGCAAATGTACGTGTGTATGCGTCTACGTACGCGCTTGTGTGTGTGTGTGTATGTAATTGTGTTCGTAAAGTTGCTTTTTATTTACAGCGTCGGAAATTTTAACAATACATATGCACATACATACACACATACACACATGTGCATGCATGTATATATGGGCAAGTATAATTAATAATAATTAGAATTAATGTTGCACATATTGCACAATAAAATTGCGCACTACGATATTTCATGTTGTTAATTTTCTCGATTTGCGATACCCTTGCAGAGGTTATGTCTGGTTTGTCACGCCTTACGTAACAGTTTCTAAAAGAAACAGATCGGTTATCGATAGTGTAACTACTGGTCGTTAAGTTGAAATATGTATATCTAGTTATGAATTGCCTTTCCGAATTGAGAATCACGAATACTATATCTGTATTTATATATAGTATATATAAGTAGCTGCCATAGGAGCAATTTGTTACAAGCCCGCCTGCAAGGGTATTTTTTGAAAATTCGTCTAGCCGAACTCGGAGTTTTGCAGTGTTGTTAAGTGGTAACTTAAAATTTGACTATCATTAAACGTTATGGTTTCATTTTTGAAAGTTAATGCTTTGTTTCCCCAGAACCACATATTGTATAAGTACATTATATAACTATATATATATATGTTTATTAAATTTTTGCATTTTGCTTACCGTTTTCTTAGTTTGTTTTTCGTTACGTTTTTCGCTTTGATTTTTGAGTTTTCGCTGCGCTTTGCTTTGCTTCGCTTCGCTTTGCTTCGATTACGTTTTGCTTGATTTTCGTTTCGCTAACGCCAAAGTGCTGCCAATTTAGGCACAATAGTGCTGCCCATTTGCTGCGTGTCATCAACGACTTACAATTAGTTTATTGCATTTGTTGTTTTTCTTTTTTTTTTTTTTTTTGTTTATGTTTTTAATACGAATTTCGGCTTATTGACTATAACTTGATTTTTCGCTTTGCTTTTTGGCATATTAAAAATATATGTATATATATATGTATATGTATGTATATTTCCGATATATGTACAATGTATGTAAATTGTTGATTTCGCTTTGTGCGAGGGCAGGGAGAAGACGTGTTTGGTTTTAGGAGGCGAGTTAACTTTTTTATTAATTGCTACGTTTTGTGTGGGCTGGGAGAAGACGGGGGCGGTTGGAGGAGGTGAGTTGTTTTTGTTTTTATTGCTGCGTTTTTTCGATTTTTTTATTTTTTGTTTTTGTTTTTAATTTGAACTTGTTTAAAAACTACTAATGCACTATTAGTTGTCGCGTCTGTTTTGTGAGTCTCGAGGCACCGCAAAAACTTAAACAAAAAAGAAAACAGAAAGTACAACAAAATAAAACAAAATGAAAAACTTTGCATATATATGTGAGACATACATATATATATATATATATATATGTATATATATAAATATCAATATAATTATATATATATCTCATTCATTGATTGTTGTTCTAAAAACTTGATTGCTTTCTTTTAAAAATTTACTTTTAAAATCAATAATATATTATAAACATAATTAATAATGTATTAATATAACTATATAAAATAGTGTGTTTTTGTTTTTGTTTGTTTTTAACTCAATTTTAAAGTTACGAAACAGTAAAAATTTGCATTTAAATTAATTTAATAAAAACCATACTTATATTAAGATTTTAAGAACGTTTTTTTTTTTTAGTTTTTTTGCTTAATTGTTGTTGGTTCTTGCTTATATACAATAAAGAGTTTACGAGTTTTGTTGCTATTGTTTTTGTTTTCAGGCGCATTAACATTTTGGCCAGCGAGAATATATATATATATATGTATATATATACATATAAATATATATTTATGTATTATAGATACATAGATATATGTGCAAACGACAAGGAAAAATTAACTAACTTAAATATTAAAAAGCCATTTTTATTTTATGCGTAAACGAAAACAAAATTCAACTAAAGTTTGTTTGGGCGCCATAATTGTTTTTTCTTTACCTACAATCTAGAAAACATATATAGATAAAATAACTTGATTTTGATAATGTGTGTGTATGTGTGGTAATATCAACTAAAACTAGGCATAAATATAAAGCTTAAATTGCTTAATAAGAAAGAAGAAACCAATTGAAAACTGAGCGTAAGGAAATAAGTATATGGTGTGCATATTCTTTATGTATAAAAAGGCGTAACTAGAAATTATTAACAAACATTTTGCAGATGTTGCTGAAGTTGTTGTTGTTGTTGTTCTTTTTGTTGTTGTTTGTTGGAAGGTTTGATAAGCTAAACAACTAAATTTATAGCTGTTGCTGCTGCTAGTATACAATATAATAATTATAATTATAATTATAATAGTTGCTAGTTTGGCCTGACTTTCATTTAGACACGTTTGGTGGTGATGATAATGTTGTTGCGGTTGTTGTTGTTGGTGTTGTTGGTGTTGCTGTTGCTGTTGGTCTCGTTGTTGAGGCTAAAGTTATCGCTACTGAGACTGAGGATACGAGACAGCTTCGCGTAGCGTCTTAAGGCCCGCCTGCACATACCGAAACACCTCATGCATGGTGCTATGCAGCGTCAAAGGCCCATTCTCGTGATCTAGTTTGCGTATAAAGTCTGAAAATAATTGGGATTAATATGGTTTATCTTCATTATGTACTAATCTTATATTATATAAGCTATATTAGATATTTACTCGGATATTTTGCAGCCCAAGCCTTTAAATCTAAACTATTCGGATTCTCACCCATTTTCCGCAGCGTTAATATTTCCACAAACTTTGCTTATCTTAAAAATGATTTATTTTTTCTTTTGACATCGATCTTCGAAACTGATTCAGTGAAATATTTAATAAAAAGAGTGCTCCAGTAGGGAGATACCCTGAACCTCACTCTACCTACACCAAATGCAGCTCCAGCTGTCGAATTAGGTGAATCTAGCTCTTGAAATCTAAGAGATTTTCACTAACACTAGGGAGGATCTACGCTTCAAAACTCTAGCTCTTATAGGTTCTGAGATCGACGCGTTCATACATTCCGGATAGACAGACTCGGCTATATACTTTATGGGGATCGAAGATGCCTCCTTCTGCTTGTCACATAGACTTGCACAGAAACATTAAACCCTATTTTTTAATCAGGGTATAAAAAAAACAGGCTTCTTAAAATTAGTTCAAAATTTGCACAAAGATCTATAAAATCTCGATTAATTTGAAACCAATAAAAGCTTCTTCCTTGCTTTCCCATCATTGCAATTCGACTTTTACTTTCATTATCAATAACTACATTAAATAATTCATTTCTTTCTATTCCACACGGTTTGGGCTGTGCGTTGATCAACAGTCAGTCAGTCAGTCGGGTTTTTTTATCACGATAAATAGTTATATATATGTATGTAGATTGATATGAACATTACCTATATGATTGCCGGTGCGCACCAATCGATCGGCTTGATCCCACAGATCATGAGCGTTGTTCACATAGGTGAGATACTCATTCTGCTTGCATAGCTGATTGTGTATGTCTTGAGGCACTATTTTGCCAGGCGGCGTATTCGAACCGGAGCCCTAAAATGAATACAGAATAAATATAGATTGAATTTCTATAAGTTCAATTCTAGTTGTATTAGTAGTATTACCTGTGAGCCCACTGAGTTCGATGGTGATATGGAGGACGGCGTATTGCCATTCAATATATCCCCCCTGCCGGAGCGAAAGAATTCCGAGCAGCTGGCTATTGTTTCGCGACAATTGGCACGTCGCAATTTGTAAAGCTTTAAGGATATCAGCGATTGGCAGCGTAAACTGTGAAAAGAGAGTTTGAAAAAAACATTAGCTTTAAATTCGTATGCCTTTATATATTCATTGATGGCTAACTCACCTGAGTATGGCCACAATGTTGTGCGATTCGTGCTTTCCATTTGTTAACTGTTGATACGGTCGATTCTTAGAGGAAATGTATCTGAAAGTGATATATTAAATATATTGTTAAATATAAATATATAATTAAACATACATATGTGCATAGAATATATAATAAATATTAAAATGACTATTAGACACATTTAAATAAAAATAAATTAACTAATATTCTTAGATCGAAAAGCAAATAGTTTTCTTTTATGTGCATCACACTTTACTCACTTAATTAGCGACAGGGTGTCCTTGTACATGGTCCACGTGGCGTTCAAGTTGCCGCGTTCCATGGCATCGGCGGTTAGCAGGAAATAGACAATTGCCTCCAGGTAAAGCGTCATTTGATTAAACGAGTCACGCTCCGAATCAGCCGCGCGCTTTCTTCTGATTGCCTCCTGCAGCAATAGATCGGTTTTCCTGCAAAAAAAACAATAATATGAAATTAAAATTCTGTTCGTTTGATATAATCAAATATATATATTATTATTCAATCGTATTTATACGATTCCAGTCACATTCCACTGTTTGTCATTTGGAATGTTGAATCAGGAAAGCAAAAAATTGCTTTAAATGTCATTTAAAATTAATCGGAAAGTCAAAAAAGAAAATTCTGTTCGTTTCATATTCTCAAATATTTGTAAAAGTATATTCCTATTTGATCCAATTGTATTTATTTTTTGATTCCAGTTGCATTCCACTAAAATGAAATCGTGTCATTTCGAATGTTGAACCAGTCAATTTTAATTAAACATTTTTTTATATAACTTTCAAAAAGAAATCAAATTGTCAAATTCTACAAATTGCCATTTTTATCATTTTGAATGAATCGCATTCCATTTTAAATATTGTATTTCTTTTTAGAAATGTACAATATGTTTGTATTTTTGAACGTCATTTAATTAAGTTTCTTTATTCTGTGGAATCAGCTTTCATTTAAGAATCTTTCATCATTTATATTAATAGACTTTGTATCAAAATGAATGAAAATGGAATGGAGTAGAACAGAATAGAGGTTTCACAAGAATTTACTACTTGTCATTTGTATCATTTTCAATGAAGGACATTTCACTTTAATTACTGAATTTTTTTTGGAAATTTGCAATATGCAGACATTTTTTTTATTAATCTTCATTTTGTGCAATCATCTTTCATTAAAATAGCTTTCCTTCTTAATAGTTGTCTTTCGTCATTATGAATGGGAATAGAAGGAAACGGAATGCAACGGAAAAACGTTTCACACAAAGCTCACTACTTGTCATTTGTATCATTTTCAATGATGTGCATTCCACAAGTAAATTTAATGCATTTTTCAATATTATAATTCTACTATTAATTATTATTGTGCTCTACTCAACAGTAGTACATCATTCTGAATGACATTCTTCATTCAGTTAATCAATGGAATCGGGCAATGACTTTGGATGTTACTCACTTGTGGTCGTTGATGGCATGCTCCTCCTCGTTGTCAAAGTGGGAGCGATAGATGAGACGCGGCGCTGGTGGTGGGGCCGCCGGCGGCGGCGTCGTTTGCACCGCTTCGCTGCAGGTAATCGGCAGTTGGGTGGATGCCGTAGCAACTGTTGCTGATGTCGTTGAGGCAGTTGTTTGGCCCGTTCCTGTTGACTGTGACTGTTGCTGTTGCTGCTGCTGCTGCTGCTGCTGGTGTTGCAGCTGTGATTGGGACAGGGGCAATTGTCGCGCGTGTTGCTGCTGCAGCTTGTTGGGACTGGCATTGGCGGAGTTCTCTTGCTGCTGCAGCAGCAGCTCGAGCTTGTCGCGCGATAATCGCTCGTGATTGTTGGCGGGCAGCAGCACCGGCACCGGCAGCAGCTCCTTGCTGAGCTGCTCGGCCTTCTCCTTTTTTCGCTTCTTCTCCTTGTAGGGGCTCGAGCTGGAGCTGGAGCTGCGTTTGCGTCGACGCGCGGGCAACTCCTGCTTGAGCATGAACTCCTGCTTGACGCTGTTCGGCTTATACTTGGCCTCATAGCCGGCATCCAGCTCCGGCTCGGGCTTAACGCCGTGCTCATGCTTGACGCCGCCAAGCAGCTTGTTGCCCGACGCCACGCCAGCTGCACCACCCAGCGCCCCACCACCCACATAGCCATTGGGCGCATAGATCTGTTGCAGTTCCTTGGGCGTGCGGGCGCCCTCCGCCGAACGGCTGCTCAGATGTCCGTTCTGCTGCGTCTTCAGTCTCTCCGGCTGGTGGTGGTGCGAATGCGAGTGATGCTGGTGGTGGTGCTGCTGCTGCTGTTGTTGGCTGCCATCGGCTGCGTACAGTCTGTAGCTATTCTGATACCATTCGGGCGGCACACGCGCCAGCTTGCTCAGATCGATTTTGCACATAAGCGAAGTCAGGTGTGGTGTGGTGGTGCGCGCCGGTGATGCCAATGTTGCGCCCAGCAGCTGTGTGGGCGTGGCACGCGGCTTAAGCTCTTTGGCTTGCTGCTGCTGCTGTTGCTGCTGTTGCTGCTGCTGCTGCTGTTGTTGCTGCTGTTGCTGCTGCTGCTGCTGCAGCTGCTCCTCGGACTGATCGATGATAACGACCTGACCCTGCTTCTTGGCGCCGCCCTCTTTGGGATTGAAGATGCGCGTCAGCGTGCATATCTTCTTCTTATCACTCTTGCGCTTGCCACTGCGATGCGCATCGTCCTCATCGCTGCTGCTGCTGGCGCTGCTGTTGCTGCTGCTGTCGCTGCTCGCGCTGCTGCTGCAATCGCTGCTGCTCAAACGCTGCTGCGCGGACTGCTTGACCGACTGCAGCGTCAGCTCGGGCGCATATTGCTGCTGCTGCTGCAGCTGATGATGTTGCTGCAATTGTTGCTGTTGTGGCGGCTGCTGCTGCTGCTGCAATTGTTGCTTTTGCTGCTGCTGCTGTTGTTGTTGTTGCTGCTGTTGCTGCAGCAAAAACTGTTGCTGCTTGTGTTGCTGTTGCTCTTCGGTTTCGCTGCTGCTGCTGTTGCTGTTGCTGCTGTTGCCCATGCTGAAGCGACGCTTCGCCTTGCTGCTGGCCACGCCCACTTTGTTAATTTTCACAATACGCTTTTTGGCGGGATTTTGTGCTGCTGCCACTGCTGCTGCTGCTGTTGTTGTTGTTACAGCTGGCGCTGCTGTCGCTGGTATGTCGGTGTCGCTGCCGCTGCTGCTGCTGTTGCTGTTGCTGGACTTGGTGCTGCTGCAGCTGCTGCTGCTGCTATCCTCGTCGCTGCTGCTGGCCGCGCGCACAGCAATGGCTGCTGCTGCGGCTGCAGCTGCTGCTGCTGCTGCCATTGCTGCATTGGGCTTTTTGGTGGGCGTGTTGCCATTGGAGCTGCTGTTGCTGCTGTGCTCACGCTTACGACTGCCGCCAGCTGCAACTGCTGCTGCCGTGCCGCTGCTGCTGCTGCTGCTGGCGGCACCTTTGGCCAGCGGCTTCTTTGCCGCCGTCAGCGTTGGTCCCTTGGCCTGCGAGCTGCTCGCCGAGGCGCTGCTTAAGTTGCCGCTTTGCTGCTGCTGCTGCTGCTGTTGCAGCTGCAATTGTTGTTGCTGCGCCTGTTTGCGTGGCCTGCCGCGCCCCTTCTTAATGGCTGGCGCCGCTGCTGCTGCTGCTGCCACAGGCAACGCTGATGCCGCTGCTGCTACGGCGGCGGCAGCAGCTGCTGCTGTTGCTGCCAGCTCGAGCGCGTGCTTCTTATTGCTGCTCGCCGGCTCATCCTCGTCGCTGGAGTCCAGCGGCGGCGCCGTTGCCGCCGACATTTTCTTCTTGCGCGGCTTCTTCTGGCGCGGCTTTGGCGAGGCCGGCAGCGGCCCGATGGGCGTCAACGTGACGCTGTTCGGCTGCGCCTTGTGCTGTGTTGCTGGCGTCACGCGCATCACTGTGGTAATGGCCGCCGGCACGCCAGGTATTTGCAGGGTTTCACCTGGTCCCGGCATTGGCAACACCTCGCTGCTGCCGCCGGCGCTGTCGGAGCTGCTGCTGCCGCTGCCGCTGCTGCCGCTGCCGGAATCGGACAGACGCGACTCGCGTTTGATTTGGTTTTTTGGCAAAGCGCCGGCCAGCGCCAGCTGCTCCGCCGTCAGCTGCTGTTGCTGTTGCAGCAGCAATTGCTGCTGCTGCTGTTGCTGTTGCTCCAGCTGCTCCTTTTTGACGGTCACGCTCAGGCCGACGCCGTAGCGCTGCTGCTGCTGCAGTTGCTGCTGCTGCTGGTGGTGCTGTTGGTCTGCCTGCTCGTCCTCGTCGTCGTCCATGTGCCGCGAGTCGTCGTGCAGCTTCTCGTTCTTGACAATCGCCGTGGTCACGTCAATGGACTCGGGTATGATCTGTGCACCGCCCGGCAATATGCCGGGCACCTTCATGCTCACATTGCCCATGGCATTGGCCACGCCCGGGGAGACGCTCTCGGCGGCCGTCTGGTTCGTTGGCTTGGGAAAGAAGCGGCTCAGATTCCAGCGATTGCTGTCCGTTGGCGAGGGCGTCTTGTTCGATGAACTGGAGCTGCTCATGGTGCCCATGCCGGAACTGCTGGAGCCACCGCCGGTGCTGCCGCTGCCGCTGACAACGCCGCCGGCTGCGCTGCCCGTCGAACCGACAGCACTGCCAGGACCGGCACCAGGTCCACCCAGGCCGCTGGAGGTGAGCAGGCCGCTGATTGTATTCGCTCCGCTTGCAATTATCGTTTGGCTGTATTTCTTTTTGCTGCCATTGGCGGTGGCTGCAAGGCGCTGTTGCTGTTGCTGCTGCAGCAGCAACTGTTGCTGTTGATGTTGTTGCTGCTGGTGCAACAAATGTTGCTGCTGCTGCTGCTGTGGATCACCTTTGCTGCTGGCCTCGCTGCCCGATTCGCTGGAATCCGATTCGGAACTGTTGCTGCTGTTGCCAGCTGATCGACTGGAGAGAGCAAGATAGAGAGAGAGAGAGAGAGAGAGAGAGAGGAAGCATTATAGTGTGTGCCCGTAGTGCTTGTCAAACTGTTGCTTACCTATCCTTTTTGCGTTCATCATCGGATTCGGAGAGCTCTAGATCATTCTCAAGGCTGCAAGTGAAGCAAAGGAGTATGTCAATATGCTGGTATTTTCAGTTGATTAATAATGTAAATTACGAATTAATATTAATAATAAATTATAAACCGGATTTAAATAAATTAATTAAATTATTAATTAATAAATTATGAGTGCCCCACTAAAAAAGACTACAGAACAACAGAGAAAAGTCGAGTTCTAGCTCCAGTTTAGGAGAATCATACCCAAAGGTCAGTTCTATTAAAAAGCTAAGGTTACAATACCCTACACTTTGGTTGGTCATTATATTTATACCACGTAATATGCAGCGCTAAGAAGGATACATGTCCTTGTAAGCTTACAATTCAATTGATCGTATCTAAAGATTTTTCTATCAACATCTTTTGACCCCTTTTGGCTATTGAATTTTATATAATTCATATTCTGTTCGTCTTTCCAATTATATTCAAAATTTTCCATTCATTTTCAGCATTCTCTACTTTTTAGGTTTCTCCTCTCAGCCCCTTTTTTACTTACCACGAGTCCTGCTTTTCCAGCGAATGATTTTTTTCTGTTTTGAGGGGTTTTATCACTGGCGGCGTGGGCGACGCCTTCGGCGGCGTCGGCGTCAGCTGCTGCTGCATGGGCGCAACGGCGCCCATGGCCATGGAGGGGGGCACCGTTGTGGCACCCGCCATGGGAGGCAGTGGCAGCGGCAGCTGGCTGGCCTGCGGGGGCGTCGTCAGCAGCGGGGCAATGGGCGATGTGATCGGCGCTATCGGCGCTAGCAGCGGCGTCATTAGCGAGGAGGCGCCAGCCGCCGGCGGGGAGTTGAGGGGACCGATGGGATCCACCGCGTCAAATGCATATTTAAACTTATTGGGCCCGTTCAGGTTGTAGTTCTCGCGCATCGGCGCGTGCGGCGTCGCCGCAATCGATGTCAGCGGCGTCACGCGATAATTGTTGGTCATTTCGGTGATTATTTTGTTAATATGATTCTGTGAGAGATGGAGAAGAACAAGAGAATGTTAAACACTTGGCAATGCCGCTCAAAATGTAGATTATGCCAATATAAATATAAAGTAATAAGTATAATTTATATACAATAATATGGTTCATATCTAACTTTTATAAATTTTAATATTAATTTTAAAAATATAGGGAATTGAAATATAAATGCACGGCAAAAAATATATATAAAAAAAAAACCAAATATACCTAAATATATGTATGTATTTTACAAGTAATTTTTTATATCGCATTTTTAAATTTTTCTATGATTTTATTTGCTAATGATTTTTTTTATATGCCTTTTTTTAAAATAAAATTATATCTTTTTTTGTGTAGTAGTAATTTTTTGAACTTTTACTAATAAGAACTAAAAGGAAATTCTTTTTACAGGTTTGCCTTATGCCTGATTATTATTTGACTTTATATTATTATTAAAACACTTTTAAGCTTAAAATAAAATAAAATACAATATAAAAGTTCATAAAATTTTAGCCTATGTAGAGTGAATTTAAAGTTTGTTTTAAATTGTTTATTTAAGTCGAAAAAAAATTATTTCTAAAATTTCTGGACTACAAATCTCAATTAAATCTTATTTAAATATTTGCAGAACAAGTAATGATCGAAAAAGAAAGAGAAAAAAATGTGTATGCTGTTTTATCTGCTTAGATATTTAAATTGAATCATAATTAATGTTATCATTATTTAAAATAATTAAATAGTTTTTTAAATTATGTAATATTAATTCCAATACTCTAGTTTTTTCTTTGATTTTCAAGCAAATTTAAAAAAAAATTCTATATTTATTAAAAAGGTTTATTAATTAATTTCTTTAAGTGTTTTCCTTATAATCGATAAGTAGCTATTCTATTTATCGATAACTATTTGTATGTTAATTTGTATTTTCTCATCTCTTATTGGACTTACCTCTGGTGGCGGTGGCTGGAGTCCTGCGGTGCTGCTGGGTCGCTTGCCGCTGGCCGATGGCGGTACAAAACGTCCGCCATTGGGCAGCGCCGGCGCCGGTGGCCCCAGAAAGGACTTTTCGCGGCCATTTGGCATTTGCGTGGACATGGGCGGGCCGAGGGGCGACGACGTTGACGCTGACGTCGGTGCCGCTGTGGCATTGTTTGTGACGCTGGACGAGTTGTTGTTGTTGTTGCTGTTGTTGGAGGACGACGATGAGGATCTGGGCGGGCCACGTGGCGGCGCCATGCCGCTACTCGACGGTATGTCGTTCTTCATGGGCTGGCCTGGATATCCGCCACGCCCATTATAAGGCGGCTTATTATCGGCCTGCTTCAGATAGGTGGGCGCCCGCTGCTGCTGTTGATAGTGTTGCTGCTGCTGCTGCTGCTGCTGTGATGTGGGCAGCTGGCCAGGCACCGAGGCGGATGAGGAAGCAGATGCTGATGATGATGATGAGGAGGAGGAGGAGGAGGTGGCGGCGCTGCCAAAACCCTTCGCCAGCGCCTGCAGTCGCGCATTTGACGCACCCGGCGCCTGCCTATAAATGCCCACCGTGGAAGCATTCATATAGTCCCGGGCATGACCGAAATCACCCAGGACGGAGGTTATTTCCAGATCACCCTCGTTGGGATTGAGGCGACGCGGCTCCCCAAACAGACTAGTCTCCCGATCGTCGCTCTGAATGCCCTGTTGACGTTCATATTTTTCGCGTTCGCGTCTTTTGCGCCGTTCGGGATCCTCCATGCTGCAAAGGTGCAACAAAATGCAAGAGGAGTGCAAAAATAGATATTATAGTTAAAGAGTTTAGAACTTTCTTAACGTACAAACAGTGTATAACAACAGTATGATTTGGTTACACAATTATAAATAACAAACAAACATGACAGGCAACAACATGAACAACAACATCGACAACATCGAGAACCACAACAACGGGAAGGACAACAACAAACATGGCTTGGCGTGTAATGCAGCAGTTGACAGCAGTTTGACATGCGCTGCGCTGCGCTGCGGGTGCTATGTAAACAGTTGGGCATGCATTGTGCTTGCAGCGAATTTTGTTAGTTTTTCCAGTTTTATATTATTTAGGCATTGTCTACTTTTAATGGTTTATTGCCCTAACTATTAAGTTGCAACATAAATTCACTTGTTTAAAAAAAAAAAAAAAATTTTTACCAATTTTTATGAATTGAATAATTTGAATTGTCTAAGGACGAGAAATATCAACTCTAACTTCTGGAAGTGTTAATTTTTTACAAAAATTAACTTAAAAGACAGGTTATTATAATACAAGAACACCGCAACATTTAGAACATTTAGAACACAGTATTATAATTTCTTCAACTTAATCTATTTAATTAAAACTGTTGAAATTTGTTTTATATTTTGGAAACGATTGAATAATATTTAAAATATTTTTTTAGACATTTCAATATCAATAAATATATTTTGAGAAGGTGGCATATTTTTTCTTAATTTAAAAAACTAAAATTAATTGAATTCAATAAAGTTCTCGTATTCTGTTAACTTCCCATGAACATATCGCACGTGCAGTTATTGAACGGCTTTCAGCTCTGTTAGGCGTAAACAGTTTGACATGCACACCAGCACGGTTTGCAGAGCATGTAAACAAAATATCTGATTACGGATCAGATAGAAGGGAGTGGGTAAAATGGATTGTGTGCGTGTGTGTGCGCGTGCGTGTGTGTAGTGTAAACGCGATAATTGTTGAATTTAAATATTTGCTTTAGCGTTGGGTAGAATTTTGCATATGCTTTTATTAATAAAATAAAATATTTTTGGGCGCATGCTAAAACGTACACACACATAGTAACTAACAAATACGGAATGAGTGTGGGTGCGGGGAAGGGGGTGAGTGGGGGGTTTCAGGCTTGAACACACAGCGCAACGTAATGACTCTCAAAACTTACTTATAATTCAGGTTGAACGAATTGTTATTGTACTGCAGTAGTTGTTGTTGCTGCAGCAGCTGCTGTTGTTGCTGTTGATGGTGTTGCTGCTGCTGGTGTTGTTGTTGTTGCTGTTGTGCCATAACGCGCGCTTCATACAAATACTTTTTTAATTAGATTCGCCGGCGTCGCGAACACAACACGCAAACAAGCAAAAAAAAGGAACACACACACAGAGACAACAAAAACCGAGAAAAAAAAACGTTTATGTATGTGAATTGGTATGTGTGGGTGTGTGTGTATTGGGGTAAACGGAAAGTGTTTGTAAAAGTTTGTCGCGCTCGTTCTTTCGCTCTCTTTCTCTTGCTTTGACGCGCCTATGTTATCGTTGTGATTTTGCCCTTGTGATGGCAGCAGCGGCGTCGCGGCGATTTGTATTGTTTGTTGTTGCTCTCTTGAATTTCTTTTGCCTTTCTTGTTATTGTTGCTGCCCTTGTGTGTGGCCGCAACATTTTCGCTGTCATTTGCTGCGCGCTGTCAAAGCTGCTGCTGTTGCTGGTGCTCTCTGCGTGTGTGTGTGTGTGTGTCTCTCTCTATCTCTCGCTCTCTCTCTCTTTCTCGTTCAGGCACCGGCCTTTTATACAGTTTTGGAAGCACTAAGCGTGTCTATTTTGTTAGTTCGTTGCGTTTAAGTAGAAAAATGTATGAACGAATTTTTTTTTTTTTTTTGTTTACAGCCTTATCAGTTTAAATGCCGATTTTGGTTACATTTGTTCTTGTTATTTTGATTACATGTAAGTCTTTTTATTGCTTTGGGTGTGTGTAGTTTGTGTAACAAATTTAAAGTTGCAGTACCTGTAAAATAAACAGAGAAAAAAATTGCAAATTAATATTATGTGAGTTCTGCAGAATACTTAAAAACTAATAGACACTTTTTAAAATAAATCACCTTAAGCAATTCAAAGAATATACCTTGGGCTAACATACATAAAGGCAAAGACAAGGACAGGCTAACGGGCATCGTTACTTCTTGTTATAGAAGAGACGACATCCACGGTCCCTTACACACTCACATATGCACACAGCTGCTCACATGCTGGGATTAAGCTGCTTTGCTTTTGCCGCCGTCGCCGTGACGTTGAACCACTTTTCAAACTAACAACAACAACAACACTGGAAGTGTAATGCTCAGATTCACTTAGCCTGCCAAACCTGAGCAGAACAGCGGGAGAGAGAGAAAGAGAAGACAAGCCACGCTTTTAGGCAATGGCTTAAGCGCTGCTTTAATGCAGCTGATGTAATCTAAGTGCATCTAAGAGAGTGAGCGTTAACGGAACCAATAAAATTGAGCTCGGATACATTTTGGGTAATTGCACTTTTAAGTGGAGAATTTGTAGAGAATTTGTAAATACTAGAAAATATTTAAACACATTTTAAGACAAATTTAAAAACACGTTTATTTCTAAGCCAATAAAACAGCAAACGAAAAAATAAATTTCAAACTTTGCAAATTCCAAACTCTGTTATAAAATCAACAGTTAAAGCTCAGCAGCTAGACCAAAGACAAATTGTGGTAGCTTTAGATTAAATGGCCGCACATTAAAGCTACACTCACACACACACAGCCAAAGAGAGGGAAAGAGAGCACGTCACCCACAAGAGACAACAACAATATATAAATTAGGCAATGGCCGTAGACCAAAAATAGAAAAAAGGGACAACAAAAACTTTGTCAAGCTTTTTGCTCGTCTATTTGTCTGTTGCTGACTTGTCTTCATTCATTTTTCTTGTGTGCATAAACTATTTGGCAGCACTGTGCGAGTGTCCATCTAGCCAGAGAAATAAAATAATTAAATGTTGGTCCAGCGTTGGATTCTGGACTCGCTTTTTGGCTCTTCAGTTGAGATGCTAACAAAATTTATAAGACAAATAAATTTTAACAGCAGCAGCAGCGGCAGCAGCAGCAAAAGCATAAAAACATCCCAAAAACACAGCAGATTTGTGGCGGCACCCTCAGCGCCCGCTCCCATTTCCTTCCTTCGCCTTGCACAGCTGTAAAAGGGTCAACATTGTGCGTCTGATGTCCTGTGACCAGAAAATTAATTTAACTGACACGTTTTTCATTCCACATAAATAAAAAGTACATTTTTTGTCATAAATAAAATTGCGTTGCATACGCCAAGGAGTCTGGCCGGCATATTGTAAAGCGGGTGGAAATTTTCACAGCTGACATGGAAATGAAAACTTTTTGATTTGTGCTAGTGAATAGAACCAGCTGCTCGAAATTTTAAAGCGATCATTAATTATAATATTAAGTGAGAAAACGTGTTGTCTAAAGTTTAGTGAGTTTTAAAAAGTTACCCAACTCGTGACATACAAGAGAACGCTTCACATTAGCTATCAGAAATAGAGAGGCTAGAGTGTAAGCCCAATGGAAAGTGAAAGCTCAACATTCTTGTAGGCATTACATGTTTTTTTGAGAATCGCATAGAAGGCCGTTTTGTATAAATTGAAGAAAAAGATAGGAATTTAAAAAGACACATCTCCTACACATCTGTAACGGAGGCGCATTTTTCTGTGGCTTACATCAGATTAAACTCTCAGCTAAATATAACTGAAATGTTTAAAAGAAATTAAATATATTTCTTTAAGTAGAAACACACTTGTGCTAATAAATGCAAGGAAACAAAACAAGCGGGAAAATACAAATTAAATTTTTGGCTAGAAATAAAATCAGTTGAAGTTCTGATTCTGTGAACTTCTTTTCTCACTTTGTAAATTAATCATGTTTCTTATTGATTACAAAAGTTTGCTGATGCTTGGGCACATACTCGCAGTTAAAAACAGAAGCAAAAAGATATTGGAAAAAAAGCCTTGGCAAACGCTTGGGGCCTTAAACATTTTCAATTTTTATGTTTTCTACCCAAATCGAGTCCCCCGCTCGTGCATGTCTATTTATTTACTTTTGGGTTTTCTTTCTTATTTTATTTTTTTTAACAGGAAGAAGGTTCGGCAGGAGCAGAGGGGGCAGAGGCGTACCTACACAGCAAATATGATGACGACGTGGCGCAGCTGTTTACCGTTCGTTCGTTCGTTCCGTTCATTCGTTGCCTACTTTAGGGAGTTGCTCCCCGCCCCATCGCCCCCCCCCCCCTGCCATATCCTCCGCCTGATATTCGCAGCAGAAGCCGGCCGGCAAGCCACAGAGGCTCCTCCTCTTCGAGGCCCCGACTGTGGCATATGTTATGAATTTTATGCAAATATGCTGCGCCTCTCGTTACCAATACTATCTCCCCCCCCCCCCCCCCCCCCCGCACAACCAACCCCTCCTCATGGCTGCTTGCAACACTTTACCCACGACGCGGCAGACATGTATGCAAAAAGTTTAAGAATATTCGCCATGTTGTGCAATTTTTTTTTTCATTTTTGTTTTTCTCAGTGTTTGCCATTCTATTAACATTTAAATCAGCTTTCGGTTAAGATTTTGAGCCAAAAGGGTCGCTTGTTTTATACTTAAATAACTGTCTATCGGTCGATTTATTAACTTTCTTAACTAAATTAGATCAAAGCCTTTCAAAGTAATGCAACTTTAAGAAAAGTAGACAAAATATAAAGATAAATAGCGTAAGCTTCATTTAATGTAAGCCATTAAACAAAAAAAACAGGGTATGAATTTATCATAAGATGATTTCAAAACTAAATTTTAAAATTGTTTTATAGTGTAAATATTGTGGAAAGATATTGACAATTTTGATAGCGAATTGCTTTAAAATTCAAGGTTTGATTTGCATGCCGAATAAAAGAATAGGCGAGGTTTTCAAGGCATTTTCCTGTGGCTCATCATGAATCATTTAACAACTTGTACAAACATTAAATTGCGCATGAGAATCCTTTTTACAAAAGGGGCCGACACAAGCTGCCTCGGCATACAAAATTCAATTCAATTCAATTCTGGGAGTAGTCACAGGACACACAAGCGGACACAAGGACACAAGGACACGGACGACACATGCGACTAATTTCATATTCATATGCATATTTAGACTAACTACCGAGCCGTAAGCAGTAGGGCAACTGAAAAGCGAGCAAGAGAATCTCAGGCTATGCCAGTATAGAAAAGGATGTGTGTGAGTGTGTGGGTGTGTGTGTGTGCATGTGTGTGTGAAGGAAAAGCAAAAGGCAGGCGACGACGACGACGACGACGACGACGACGACGACGACGATGACGATGAGAACGACTTCATGCACATTGGCACGCCTAATTTATAACACAAAAGTCTACTTAACTCCCCAATGCCAACTATGCAAAGGCAGCGGGAGTGAAAGGCAGTCGGGCGCGCTAAGCCGCCAAGTGCTGGACGAAGGAGCTTCCCAGACTACAAGCGAGAGTGAGAGAGACACCGATTCAGAGGGAGAGAGAGAGCAAGAGAGACAGAGGAAAGATACTAGATACCTAGCTAGAGAGCAAGGTAACGGTGCAAAATAGTAATTAAAAGTTGCACGAGTTCAAGCTATAAATAAGCAAAAAAAAAAGTATTAAAAATTTATTTTAAAAAATAATAAATAATTTTAAATTTAAATATTTAAAGTTTTTTAAATTAAATTATAAATTTAAATTATATTTGAAATATTTATCATTTTTTAATTATATGATGAAAACTTTTTTTATATAAAGACAAAAAACTAAAATAATATTTTATACGAGCACAAAATATTTAAATAATACAAGCAAAAAATATCGTAAGGATATATTTGTTTGTAAAATAGAAATATCATTTAGACGATTATGCGATTATTCTAACGATTTTTATTCTATTAAAATATGTAGATAGTTCTTATTCTTCTTTTAAACTACAGATTTTAGAACAAAATAATTTTTGTACCAACAAAAACTGCTAAAATCTCTCATAAAACAAATGGATAATTCATGGGGTTATTTTTATTATATTTTACGATACAAATAACGTTAATTTTATTTAAATTAAAAATGTTTGGCTTTTTGTGATTTTAATAAAAAAATATGTGTTATTTTCAGATAATTTTAAAAATTTTAATTTAGATAAAATAAAAAGGATTTATTTTCTTTTTTGCTATAAGATAATTTCAATCATTTCAGATTAACAATTTTTTTAAAAGTTTAAGAAATCTAAAATAATTTGATAAGCTAACGTTGCAATTGCTGAAAGCATAATGTTCTGTTTGAAAGCAAAAATTGTATATCTTCTAGGTCTAGGTCATATCTTACACGAATATATAGATTCTTAAAGCACGAGCGCTTTCGTGACACGACACGCGCTCATCCCTAGCAGCAATGCTTGTGGGACCAGTGCATAAACAAAAGCCGAACCATGTGTGGGTGGATTTGGTGGTTTTGCCCAAGCTGCCACTTGCTGGCTGCTTTTACTGTGTCTGTGTGTCTGTCCGCCCATCTCTCCGTCTGTCTGTCTCTCTGTCTGTCTGTGTGTTTGTGTCTGTATACATGGGTACAGGATTTATTATCAAATGGGCGCCATAGACTAACGACGATAGCCACAGTTCCAAACCAAGTTGCTTTCCCTGCCTTTACACTTCCGTTGTCTTCCTGCCTGTCTCTCTGCCTCTGTCTGTCTGTCTGTCTGTCTGTCCGACAGTCTGCCGCGGTGTGCAGAGAGTCAACAAATTTTATGGCACTCATTAAACTTTCTTTCAGCAAAATGCGCCAGCGACTCGAGTCCAATTGCGACCTGAGTAGAGTCGAGTCTCTATGTTTTGTGTCTAGTTAATTTATTTCTTTAAACGTGCGACCATATAGTTGACGCCCCTCCCTCTCCCACTCCCACTCTCTTTTTCTCTCTTTCTCTCAGTGTCTCCCTGCG